TGTTATTTCATGTATGTAAGGCTATCATAGTGTTGGACTAGTTCGTTTTCACGCCCTACATCTACTTTCAAATTAGTAAAAGAGTAATCTAGGATTCTATCCCTAGATTTGAGTATTCTTGAGATGAGTTGATTTTGAGTTCTTGAGTTCCTAATTCTTTTTGAAAATTATATTCCTAATTATTGAATTGCTATATGTTATGTACTATGATTCTTGAGTTTATTCGTTCATGTCTATATTTCAGCATGAACTCTATTAATTGAGTAGTCTTGAGATAAGTAGTATCGTTGAATTCTGAGTATTGAGTTTTTCATATTGTTATTGAGATCCTTGAGCTTATTTGGTCATGTCTATATTTCAGCATGAACCTTATTTTGAGTTATCATTTTTGAGAATCTTTTAAAGCAAATATGTTTGTCTTAAACTGATTTTCTGAGTAAACAAAGATGAGTTTTGAGAAAGAGTTTTAAAATATGATTAGTATGACAGTCGAGTATGCCATCAATATTTAAGCAGCATGGTATCTAGATATGCCATTAATGTTTATGCAGTATGACTTCCCGAGTTATCAATGATCATATTACGATATGATTTTTGGTATAGTTTTGAGAAAGGGTTTTCAAATATGAATTGAGTTAGAGTATAAGGGAACTAAGTATTCCCAAAGGTATCAATTTTTACATTGAGGAAAGAGAAACTTTGATTTCTAAATGAGTTAATGAGTTCAAAGATATTTCATAGCAGTTACCTCTTTTAAGAGGTTATTTTGAGTAATTACCTCAAAACAGAGAAAGAGTACGTTTTATACATTTGAGCATGAGTATATTATTGGGAGTAGTATTGAGCACCCATATGGGCATGAGTTCAGACAACTCAAAATTCTCGTAAACCATGTCTGCCAACATGGGTAAAGAATCATACTTTTTAGGTGAATCCTTATTGCTTAGTGGATCCACTTAGTTGAGGTGTCCTATATCCCGGAAAGGTATATGATTGTTCTGGCAGCGTGGGCTAGACGTTGTATCATCATGTAGCTCATAGTGATGGTTGTCGGTTATAGAATCTCCCAATAGAGTTAAGGTGTATTTTTATAGTCGTGTGTCTTGTCCCTACACTCATCTTTTTATAGTAGAGGCTTCATAGATAGACAGTTTTGGAGAGTCTTTCAGTTTCAGATGTTTTATTTAAAACCTGTGTTCATACTCAGTATATTAGAGAGTTGTGAGATTTAAAGAAATTGTTGATCTATCATTTCTTTCAGTTTGATGCTTGTGTATTCTTGAGTTAGTCATCCACTTGTAGTCAACCATGATGATGATTCGCTTGGGGACAAGCAATGATTCTCAAGTATCGGCCACGTCCAGTGTATAGGCTCAGATCATGACAAGAAACCTCACCAATTTCCTGAATTAAATCATTATTTAGTTGTACATGTTGCTCCTTTCTTATCTTCAATGTATTTATTGACCTAATAATTGAGATTCACACCTCTTTACCCAAGTTATTTAAATGCTTCAGACCCATTAAATGCTTTGAGAAAATTTATTATTTCTTTATACTTCTAGTTCATCAAGTGTTCGTTTAGGATATTGACACATTCCTTAAGAATTACTCCTTCTATCTTATATTAATTGATCACTTTTCTTTTTACACACATATTAAGAAATCATAAATAGGAAGATAAGTTTACTAATTCACCTCTTATAAATTTTCTTGGAAATCTTACAAACAAATGTGAACACTTACAAAAAGAATTAATTGCAAAATATAGGAAAAAATTTAATAAATATTTTCTTGATTTAGTAAGATGATCAACTAATATGGGACAACTATTTTTAGTAAGATGATCAACTAATAGGGGACGAGGGGAGTATATTTAAGAACAAAAATTAAAAGTTACTTGACCTGCTTTCCCTTGAAATATACATAGTAAACGACTTAAAACTCGCAGTTAGTTTTGACTGAACTCTGCTCGGGTGTTGGCCTTTTAATCAAAACAATACTTAGGGTACATAGTCATATTGAATCTCCACCACATTTGTTCTTATTTCACCCGTAGTTTTATTCTCTATCTTCATGTGCACACACTTCGGAAAACTTCCTTTTAGATCAACCAACACCTTCACTCATGCACAGCTTAGTCTTGTTTTATTGATCGTGGCTTGATCTAAATGGATAGACTTGCCCACTGTCGAAGCTAAAGAGAATAAGCATTCTTTGACAAAAAAAGTAGGCAAAAGGTTGGGAAAAGAAATCCATGCCATTGCCATAGAGGTTTCTTCATTGACTTTAAACCTAGAATCATAGATCAAAATATGCATAAGATAGGAATATCCATCTCTACACGTAATGTAAAAAGCTCCCTTTGAAACTAGGTTTACAAAGTCTTCCTACAGAGCTAGTCGTATAAGAATGTGTTTACAACGAAACAACCCAATCTTGCAACCACCCTTTAAACCACATTGTTGAGGAATAATTTTCCTCAATTCCTCTAAATCTGACCAGTCAAATGTGAATTTTCCAATCACCGCAAATTGGAGATCCTCAATTTCATTCATCAGATTCACTTCTTCCTCTGTCCAAGTGATTTGAGGGATACCTTGTATCATAAATATCTCTTTTCTAAGTGAGTCATTCGATCTGGATTGCATATTGTGTTGTGCAATAGTTTGTGCAAAAGATGGAGCTGAAGGCAAAATAGGATTGGTAATCTTTGGAGCACTGTTAGATTTTGAAGGTGACATAGGAAATTCAGAATATGACAATTGAGGGTCCACCACCAGAAGTCAAAGTTATGATCGTTTAAAGTTGACCCAAAACTTTAAAAAAACTTAGGAATGACTTGAATGAACTCTCTTCTAAAACCCCAAGAGTATTTGGATTTATGAAGACTGACCCAAATCAGATTTGTCCCCAAAATATTACTAAAATTCGTTTTAAGCTGATTGGGTAAGGAAAAGTCCAAAATACCCTTCATATTTTCGGGTAACTTTCCTTAATTAGACAGCCCGACTTCAAATGGCATATCTCCCTCATACGAGCTCGAAAATTAGCAAACTTGGCGGCGTTGGAAAGAGGATTCCAAGACCTTTCATTTGATATTTTACGGGTCTCCTAACTCATTCTGTGCTAAAAGTTATGATCGTTTGAAGTTGACTCAAAGCTTAAAAGAACTTATGAATGACTTGAATGAATTCTCTTTAGTTCTTTATGGAACACAAGGTGCTACATCTAGTGACCTTAACACTTGAGAAATTTTGAATTCCTTGATAAAATCCTACTCTCAACAAAGAAGGGTTCGAGTCTTGGCTCAAAAAAATTTCGGGGTGTTACACATTATTATTAACTTCAGCTGTAGCATTTTCCATAACCTTGAAGACATTCAAATTAGCTGAAGCTAATTCCTTTGTGGATGACACTTCAGCCATTTGGTTTCCATCCCCCTTTGCATTCAAAAAAAACTCTTGCATCCCCTTTTAGTTGTTCAACATTGTTGGCCTCAAGAGAAGGTTGTACAAGACCTTCTTGAACATCAAATTTAAGTTTATGACAATAAGAACTCATCCTTGATATTTGCAAATCGTACGATACAGGGGAAGAGCATCATACACGACTTATGGATATTATTCCAATACTTCCCAATTTTCTCATCCAAATAAAATAATTTAATATTTTTTAATGCTACAGGTTTTCTAACGGCAGAAGCAATGGATAATAAAACTTTCCTGCAAACATATTAGGTGGAAGTCTTGGGAAATGAAATCCATGTCAAAACTATAGAGGTTTCTTCCTTAGGGTTAAACCATTATCACCCTAGAAACGCCCTATATAAAATTTCTCCACTTCTAAATTACAAATAACGTACGTGAGTAGAAAGTGTTATTACAAAGTCTTCAAATTGATCAAATTTGATTCAAAAGTGTCTATGGGAAAGCAAACAAACTAAAAAGTTGCCTTTGATGCCAAGTTGCTTGGGTATTAAGGTGTGAATATCATTCAAATTAGGATGACCATAGGAGAATTTGATAACTATCTCCTAGTGTAATCCTTCTTCCCTTGTGAATTCAGAAATCTCATCCAGAGTAAATTTGATAGTAGGTTCGCCATGGAGCAACTCAACTAGATTTAAAATTGTTTTTGTTTCCGATTTAGAAGATGAATTAGCATGAAGGAGAGATGCATAATTGATCTTAGAAGACGTCTCCTCCCACAACTTGAAGTTAGGGAGAGGAGGGCAACACCAAGGTAGTACTCAAAGCTCCATGTCACCAAAAGAGAGAGAGAGAGAGAGAGATAATAACTAAGATAAATGAAAAATAAAATCGGAGAACAAAAAAGAAAATGAGAAAGAGAAGAAAAAAAGAAAAAAAATTAGTAGAGGGAATATAATGCCTTAGGAATCAATTTTTTTACTTTGAGTGCACACCACAATATAAAACCAACTTTTCAAAATTTTATATATAAGATTCACTCTTAAAGTCTAATAGGATGAGGGCACGTGCACCATATGCTCTAAGTAAATCCATCACTTGAAGAGAGATAGGAGTCAAGAATGAAATGGAAAATTGTTTCTAGATTTGTTATATTAAAGAAAACCGATCTCCTACCAATTTTTTAAGAAGTAATTGACTGCGTTGACAAAAACAAACGACCTCTTGAGCTCAGTATAACTAAATATGTTTTGTTTTTTAAACAATATCAAACTCAGGAGGTCGTCATTTCTAAGTTATTATACTTTAAATACATTACCGAAAGTTAGGGATGCAAACCTAAACTAATTAATGTATATATTGATGTAAGATTCTATATTTCCTATTTTATGTATCAACATTTGCTAAAAGCATAAGCGATTAGAAAGATTCTTGTGCATCAATAATGCTTATATATATTTATATAATAAGACCTTGCGATGTCAAACCTCATTTGCAAGTTCAGTTTGAAAAACTGAAGAATTGTCTACCATATGAAACGAAAAACAACAAACTAAAGTTTTACGTTGCATTTCAACAATTTGACAATATTTGAAACATATAAGAAATTAAGCATTGCCTATTGATGCATCATCAACTATGTTAATAAATTCCATCGGATTATCAACCTCTTTTCCACCGCCATGCTTCACAAATCAGCTGGTGAGAAGAACCTTCCATGGCAAATGCAAACTATTGAAGTTTGCTTTCCTTTTCCATAGTTGTAAAGGAACCTTCTGTCAATTTTCCATTTCTGATTCCACCAGAAGTTGTCACAGAAGGCATAATCCTTAGTAGGTCACTTGTATCCATTGATGTGACAACATTATGAGAATTCTTAACATTCTTCAATGGTTTTTTTTCATTACTTTCTGGAAATACAATTGACTTGCCTTTTTCCGTATTGAATTTGATAGAAGGTTCCTCATTTTCTGATAATGTAGAATAAACGAGAGATTTGTTAATTGAAATAATAGTTTAAGGGAATGTAAGCACAATTACCTTACTTTTAGTCATGGTTGAGGGGATAGGAACAAAAGTTAGAGTAGTGTATGGTATACTCCAATACAACAAGAAAATTGAAAAAGAAATTAAATAAAGTTAGTATCTATTTGACATTAATTATCATTATTATTATTATTATTTTAGCTTCACTTTAGAAGATGTCATAAATACATGAAAAATGATTTTGGGTTGATTGTTCATCTTTAATGGCTCGACAAATTTCTTTCTTACTTTAATCTTAAATTTCTCTTGTGTCTTTTAGTGAAAAAGATCAAAAGAAAGATCAAACATCTGAAAAAGTACTATTTTTGACCCAAAAAAAAAGATCAATCTAGATACATTACTCACATCTAACAAATATGAAAGAGTTGGTTTGGTCTTTGTGGGGTCAAACCCAATGGAAGAAAAATTCATCTGCCAAGTTACTTGGCTTGGAATTAAACTTTGAGAGCAAGCTGAAATTTGTGGAGGACAAATTTTGTATTTCTTTTCTTGCTTGGAACCCAAGTTTTGCCACCTATAAAAGGATGGTCATTGTCCATTGTTGAAATTCATCAAGAAACTAGTAGTAAAAATACATTATAAGAGTGGAGAATTAAGAGAGCAATTATCTTAGATGTATATGTGATCTCTCACATTTCTTTAATAGTATACAAGCAATTGTTCTCTGGTGGACGTAGGATCATACTTATCCAAACCATGTTAAATATTTTTGTTCTTCCTTGTTTTTTATTTTTGCACATTTTCGCTAATAATTAGTATCACAACCAAGGTTTTGTCTGCTTATGCTCTATGGTTGCAACACAGTCTCAACTTCCACATTAGAAAAAAATTACATTAGTTTTATGTATTTCCAAATACTTTGTCGTTGAAGAATAAAAACAATTAATGATGAGTCCCATGAAATTTTAATTTGATAAATTTAGTGGGCGCAACAACTTCCATACCTAGAATTTCCAGATGATTGAGTTACTGTGGAGGGAAGGTTCAAACCATACTATTGACGGAAAGTACCCCAATGACACATCAGATTTTGAAAAAGAGAAGATTGAAGGAGATGCATCGAGTGTAATCCAGTTGTCCCTTGCACCTAACTTGCTTTGTGAAGTGAGTACAAGTATCAAGGAGATGACCAAACAGTTTTGGGAAAAGCTAGAAGGGATTTACCAAGACCGGTCAGTAACAACAAGGATGTTGTTATAACGATGTCATCACACATTTAAGATGGAGTAAGGTACTTTGTTGCAAAACCATCTAGATGCGTTCAATAAACTTATGATGGACTTACATACTGCCATAATTAAGAAGAATGATGAGACGATGACATGTGCTTTGCTATTTTCATTGACTTTAAGATATCATGATATTGAAAATTCAGTAATGTATAGCAAAGATCCTATCAATCTTGAGCAAGTGCGGCAAACACTTAACTCTTGAGCAATCTTGAAGCTAGTGGGCTCGTTGTGTGAGGCCATACTAGCCAACATAAAAGGAGCAAATCAAAGTACATATCAAATTCTTGTGTGAACAAGAAGAATGCAGAGTGTTGGGGTTGTCACAAGAAGGGGCACTTTGAAAAAGATTGCCCTATGTCAAAGTCGAAAGAAAATACGAATGCATCCATTGTTGAGAAGGTATATGATTCTTATGATGAATATGTACTAAAATCATCATGAAATAGTGGAGTCTATGACAACAAATGATTGTTAGACTCTAGTTGTACTCTACATATGACATTCAGAAGAGATTGGCTCAGTAGCTATGAGACAAATAGAGGAACCATAATAATGGACAATAATTCAACTTGTAAAATAGTTGGCAATGGTTGAGTTCGGGTTCGCTGCCATGATGGAACCATGAGGACTATTACAAAACTCCATTATGTTCCTAATTTGAAGAAGTTTTTAATCTCCCTCGGTACTTCGGATAAACATTGCTACAAGTACAGGAGCGAATGAGGAACTATCTAAGTGACTATAGGGTCTTTAGTCATGTTGAATGCCAAGCTGGTGGATGGCCTCTACACACTAGCAGGATTTACCATCGTTGGCTATGTAAATGCATCTATAGTACAGTTATCTAATGATCATAATGCAAGATTATGGCCTATGAGACTAGGTCACATGAGCGTACGAGGACTACAGATATTGAGCAACCACAACTTTTTGAATGATGAAAAGATCAGCACACTTGAATTTTGTGAGCACTGCGTCCTAGGGAAGAACAAAAAGGTTAGCTTTAGCACTTGCAAGCATAAGATGGGGGTGGGGGGATGCTAGACTACATCCTTTCAGATTTATAGGGTCCCTCTAAGCTTCCATCAAAAGAAGGAAAGATGTATCTTCTCACATCCATTGATGATTTTTCATGAAAGACCTGTGTGCGTTTCTTGAAGACAAAATGTGATGCTTTTGAAGCATTTAAAGAACGGAAGATTTTGGTTGAGAATCCAATAGAGAGAAAAATCAAGTATCTTCAGACAAACAATGGCTTGGAGTTTTACAGTGAAGATTTCAATGATTTCTTCAAGGTTCTAGGATCGCAAGAAATAAGATGGCCAGGCACACACCACAACAAAATAAATTTGCAAAGAGGATGAATAGATCTCTTCTTGAGAAGTCTCGTTTTATGCTTTTACAAGAAAAAATGACAAAGTACTTTAGGCTAAAATAGTTCACATTGATTCTTATATTGTTAATCGATCTCCGACATCATCGATTGACTTTAAGACTCCTAATGAGGTATGTTCAGGTGAACCCTCTAACTATTCATTATTGTGAATATTTAGGTGTCCAGCTTATTATTATGTTAATGAAGGAAAGCTTGAACCAAAAGCTAAGAAGGCCATATTCGTAGGGTATATAGATGGAGTAAAGGGTATAATCTTTGGTGTTTATCTTAAACTGAAATTTGTAGTTAGTAGAGAATTTATCTTTATTGAATCCTCTATACTTGATCATCATAAATTTTATGTGGAGTTCTCTGTAAACGAGAACAATGAGCAGGTGGAGCTACTGGTAGAGCTTACCTATAAAGACCATCCAGGTCATTTATGTGTTAATGACTTATGTTCATCGTTTAGAGTATTCCTCTATCTAGCCCAAGTAATTTATGACTTGACGGAAATGATAGTTCGGCCACCTAGTCGTTCATTTGTTTATTATGCAAATTTCTATGTTTTAGAGTTTTAGAACCTTGAACGGTTATTTTGGATCAAAGATTTAGAAGATGACCTCAAAATCTAATTTTAATGATTCAATCAGCTTCTAAAAGGTCATTTTAGGCTACTCATATGGTCGTCATGGCTCTCAAAGCTTTCGGTGCGAGTTTGTGCAATTAGGCATTTTAACTTTCATGTTATGGCCTATGTTTGACCTTGTCAACTTTCTTGGTAAATATACTCGAATTAGAATTCTGTTAGTGTGGTCGATTTTGTTCTAGAACGACCCTTCATGCGGATCCCGAGGCTCCTGGGCTAATTCTGAGCCCCTTATAGATTTTGGTTTAAAATGGAGTTTGGTGTGGGACCTACTTTTAGTCAAGATGACCTCGTATGGAAGTTTTCATTGATTTATTGAGTTGGGAATTTCAAAATTGATTAGGTTTCATATCTCGTTATCATGTTCGAGGTTCCGCACAAATCCTGAGCCCAAGGGACTTGGCTGAAAATTTCCGGTGTCTGATGTGGTGCCTCCACTTTAGCAACCCTTGGCTCACTTAAGCGACCTCCACTTAAGCGGCCAGGGCTTCACTTTAGCACACTAGTCCATCCAGGTGTCAATTGCTTTAGAGGCCCTGACATCGCTTAAACGACCAGGGGCTCACTTAAGCGAGCTTGTGCAGCCCATGCCTCATTGCTTTTGCGAACCTAGCGCCACTTTAGCAAGCCTCGCTTTAGCGACCATGGTATCATAGAAGAGAGGTTCGCCTCTTGTTGGCCGGTCACTTAAGCGACATAAGTGATCACTAAAGTGACCCTCGTCCGGTCTTTTAAGGACTTGGACACATTTGAACTCTTTGTTCAAAGTATTTTTTGGTGATTCCTCGCTTATTTTAGTTCAAAATTGCTTGATTCAAAGTGTGGGTTCATCAAGAAGCTTGGGGTTGCGTGTGATCGGGGAGTATCGGGGAAAACACGTCGAAGGTATTATCGTCATTTTATGGACTTTTGTAGTCCCTTATTGTTCTTTAAATGTGAATTATTTTGCATATAGTTGTTCTTACTGTTCTGGGCCTGAATTATGTCCCATTTTGGAACACAAGTTTGTGGTACTATGTGAGACCTTTTTACGAAGTTGATTTTGTAAATTCTAGTGCGGGTCCCATTATTCTCATTTTGACTCCAAAATTAGTTCATCTTCGTTTTATGTGTTTTGGTGTTGAAATGACCTTATTAACGTCGTAGTGCTATTATTGATAGTTTGTAGTGTTCTTAGGCCTTTGGAAAGAAAGACCTCCAGAAAAGTGATACAAAGTGCATGTAGTCTGCCTAAAGATAGGCTACGACTTTCTTGCTCATAGATTGAGCTTTAATGTGTAAATTCATCTTGAATTCATGTGATTGGGGGTAGGCACCTAGTTGATCTTATTATATTTCTTAGACACCATGTTCTAGGCTTGTTTCAGTATTTTTGAGATTAGAACCATGCTAGTTTGGGTTGTGTGATCATCTTTATCTTGTGGTGTGACTTGTTTTTATTGATTGTTGGGTAAATGGGAATGTTTGGCCTTAGTCTAGGATTAGAGTAGTGTTTGCCTTAGACCTGCGATACTTGTGGCCTTTAGGCCTTATTTCTTCTCTGAAGTCATTTCGAACGGATCAGTTCCTTGTAGATTAGTGTAGCAGACTTGAGCCTAATAGAATCAACAATAGTTTAGGCATTGACTCATCTTTGTCGAGACTCTATTCACTCTCCCTATTTCTATG